AGGGCCTGGCCGGGGGCGCCCCGGAGCCCCGCGCCGTGGGCTGCCGCCTCAGCCTGGTCCTGCAGCCGCCGGGCACGACGCGCAAGCGGCGCAGCGCCGTGGGGGGACGCAGCCGCAAGGCCGCCTTCGACCAGGACTTCTGCTTCGACGGGCTCACCGAGGACGAGCTGCGCCGCCTGGCCGTGCGCGTCAAGGCCGAGGGCAAGGGCCGCGGCCTGGAGCGGGGCCGCCTGCTGGGCCAGGGCGAGCTGCCGCTGGGCTCCCTCCTGCTCCTCTGAGGGCCCCGGGCCCCTCGGGGCGCCTTCTCTCTGCCGGACACTCGGACGCTGACAGCCACTTTGTACAAAATAAACGTTATGTATTTATTTTTCTATTTATGATCCTGCTTTATTGACGTTTTAGTTCTTAGGCACCTGCCTTTGTCATGGCTTTTTGGTAGGGAAGGAAAAAGTAATGACTCCCTTCTCCATTCACAGCACCTGGTCCCTCTTTCCAGAGCATTTTACATTCAAAGGAAAAAAAGGCCGGCTTGAGACTGGAAGAGATTATAAGCGTATCTTGGTGGGAAGAGAATTCCTTTTCCATTAAGAAAGAACAGGATTCTTTTGACATGTGAAGTCTTCAAAAATTGCTGGAGAAGAGGAAAACAAAGGAAGTGGCGGATCTTTCCGCTGGTAGTTATGTAGGGAGTAGATATTCCTGGCATCGCTCTCCTCTTTCTCCAGAAACAGCCCTGGGAAACGTTACTGTTCCAGAAACGAAATCTTTCCTACTTCTGTAAGCAAGTTGATATTTTTTGTGGCATTATTCCCATTGAGCTGAATAGCTAAATTACATAGTACTTAGCTTTGCGATAGGATTTCCCAGATGAATTGGAAAATAAATTGTCGGTTTCTTGAACACTGGGTTCTAAGAATATTTCTTAATCCAGTTTATTTTCATTTGTTGATTAACAAATAGGCGTGAGTCCACTAGAAACTGATTATACCCAGCAGTTTTCCCTGGACTATGGCATCTGTGGTATAGTGGAAAGAAGAATAGAGTGGGAGACAGATATAGATTCCAATCTTTCTGCGGCTTGCCACTTACCTGAACCAGGGCAAATCAGTTCATTTCCCAGAGACTCAGTTTCTCCATCAGTGGAGGGGAGGGGGTAATACGCTGTAATAACCAAGTAACCCTTGAATACATGTGAAATATAGCATACCTGAAAAGGCTTGGAATGTACTGCAGAATAGGTGCTTAATAATGTTCAAGAAAACGAACTCATTCACTGCTCCTTTCTTTCCAGTTGTTTTTCCCTGGTTCTGAAGTGCAGCGTGGCAGAAGGGATGGATACCCGAGACTGAGGATTTAGAGGGGCCAGCAGTATATGCATAGAAATATAGAACCCTTCAGGATCCCAATGGTGGCTTTCCCTATAAGCAATCAGGAAGTCCTTCAGATTGTTATCTCTGAATTGAAGTTCTGGGTAAAAATTTGGTCAGACTAAATAAAAATCCTGGATTTTACATATATTTTCAAAGTGGACAAATTAGCTCTTAGAAATAATCTAATCAAACTACTTTAGAAATTGAGAAAATACAACAGAGATTACTTGCCCAAAGCGATATAGCTGGTCTGTATAGCTGAACTCAGATGAGAACGAAGTTTTATTATTACATATTATGGTAAACTAGGAAGAGTGACATAGATGATCTGGACTGGGGAAGTAGCAGGTGGATACTCTCAGAAACAGTGGTCAGGGAAGGTCTCCCTGTGACTTGAAAAAGGAATCATTCACATGAGACACTTAGTATCTCTAAATAACTCCTTAATACATCCAAAACAGAATTCTTGGTTTTCTCCTCTAAATCTTCCCTCCTAGTCTTCCTTATCTTAATAAATGGCACCTTCATCCTTCCTGTCACTCAAACCAACTACAGAGAGTCATCCTTGGCTCCCTTCACAGTCAACTTTACTCAGAGGTAAATGTCACCTCCCCAGAGAGCCCTTCCCCAGCCACACCATCTAAAAAACGGTGCCATCGTCATTATTCACACTGCTTTATTTTTCTTCATAGCACCTGATATCATATTACGCATCCACTTCGTTGTTGTTTGCTTATTTCCTCTTCCACGAGAATGTATGCTTTATAAAGGCAGGGACTATGTTCACTTCATCATCACTCTATTTCCAGCACCTAGAACCGTGCCTGGCATATAGCATATACTCAATATTGTTCAAATTGATTGTTGAATGAAGACAGGAAGAGGTGGAATAAACAAAGAAGAGTGGAGGGCCTAGGACTAAGCCTCGAGGCAGCCAATGTTTAGAAATTCAATAGAGGAGAGGCAGATGTGTAGGAGAAAAAGAAGCAGCAGCCGATGAAGTAGAGAAAGACCAGGTGAGTGTGGAGGCACGAAGCCAAGACAGGAAAGTGTTCCAAGAAGAAGGGGATGCTCAACCAATTCAGATCTCGCTGGAGGGTCAAGAAAAGTGAGAACAGAGATGTGACCCACTGCACTGGCAAGAGGAAGATCCGTGGTGACATTGACAAGAGCAGTTCTATGAGAGTGGTGATGACAGGGGCCAGACTAGAATGGGCTAAAACGTGAATGGAAGGTGAGAAAGGACAGACAGAAAGTTTTGATAAAAGGCGAGAAGAGAAAAAGAGCTGTAGCTGGAAAAGAATGTGGAGACAAAGAAGGCTTGTTTTGTTTTAATTCAATGGAACGATCCAGTGGATGTTCAGAATCTCCAGAAGAGAGGCAGGTATTGATAGAGCAGAGAAAGAGAACCAGCAATACCTGTAGGAGCAGAGTCTTTGAGAAACAACAGAGGGTCCAGAACACACGTGGGGAGAAGCAGTTACTGAGAACCCATCTTCCCTAGTCTGCATGCACGGCATCATTCCATCCTGAGGCAGATCACACTTGGAGTCCTAGGATGTTGGCCAGTAACAATGGAGACTACTCCATGATTTCTCATCAGGGCCCAGGCTGGAGAGAAGGCCTTCGTCTAAAAGCTCTCCCATAAAGCTAAGGAAGAACTTTCCCAGAAAGCCACAGCAAGCTTCTCTATGTATTTCACTGACCCAAATTGGGTTGCAATTCCAACCCTGAACCAATCCCCACCAGGGGAAGGGTGTTAGCTTTAGAATGGTTGGGCCTGTCTCTGTAGCTGAGTGTAAGCTCAGCTTCTGCTGAGGCACATGCTTCTTCCTGTTAGGAAGTAAGGAACAGGAGATGAAGTGGACTATTAGAAAGACCAGAAAGACCTAGCTTCAAATCTACGCTCTGCAATCAGCTAGTTGTGTGACGTTAGGGCCAATGCTGAATTTCTTTGAACTTCGCTTCTGTCTTTTCTAAAATACTGACTATGAAGATGGGGAAGGTTAAATGAGATCATTTCATTTAGTCATAATGAGATTTATAGTAATGGGTACACCCCCTCTTTAGCTCATGCAGATGAGTATAATTTTACAGAACAGCTTTAAGCACATCAGTGGTTCTAGTCTTAAGTCTGTACAAAGGGCAGTCTACTGGGAACGTGTCTTGGTGACTGCACTAAATGACATCAACACAAACAATTACATCTTTCCATCCCACTGGTTGTACACTTCAGACTCCATCTGCCACGTCCCAGGGAGGGGAACAACAGCTCAGCTGATGCGTGCTTCTAAAATCCAGCCATTGCTACGAGGAGTTTTTCATCATTTGTGAACATCAAGGCCTTAATAAGATATCCTCATGTGACCAGACACCAGTATTTATCCTAACAGGGAAACCCGCATTTTGTTTTATTTGGCAAAAAGAATAGAATTTATTTTGCAGACTGGCAACAGTTCCTGATTTTAAAAAGCATCGATGTCTCCTGTATTCGTGTGTCTGTCAGGACAGGGTGTCTTATTTGTCAGAACCATCCATGCAGTGCTCTGAATCTCTGTCTCTTCCTCCTCCCAGTCACCTGGGCCTCCACCTCATCCTCCTTTCTCCATCTGCTCTGGACAGCTCTCTTCACCACAATCACTTTTTTTATTGCTATTTTTAAATAATTCGGGTTTACAGAACAGTTACTAAAACACTGAAAAGAACTCCCATATGCCCTTCACCTAGATTTTCCAAATGTTAACATTTTATCATATTCAGTTTTTTTTTTTTTTTTTTGACCGGTAAGGGGATTGCAACCCTCAGCACGGGTGGGGTCTGCACCACGCTCAGCCAGTGTATGCACCGGCCATCCCTACATAGGATCCGAACCCGTGGCCTCAGGGCTACCAGTGCCACACTCTCCCGAGTGAGCCATGGGGCCGGCCCTACCATATTCATTTTTATCGTTATCATTATGTATCTATAATTTATCTTTTAAAAAATGAGTTTAAACTGAATCATCATCAGATTTAATTTCCAAACACTCTGTTTTCATCACAAACAAAATCCTTCCATGTCTATATTTCATCCAGAATTTTTGGCATTAAAATATAAGATCCCCTATAGTCTCTTCCCAGCCCAACTCCTCTAACCTTATCCTCTGAAATCTCTCTTCCCCCTATTCCTCTGCACACGGAGAGGGTTCACTTGCTGTGCCATGAAGATGTCTGTTTACTGGGCCCTGGACAGATCTGTGCTGTTTGAATTTTCCATCATGAGTGTAAAGTGAAACACTGTTTAAAATATAAGTACACACAAGCCATGGAACTTACAGAATTGCTAAAACAAATGATGTAAAAAGGTTATACACGACAGTAGATAGCTGGGGAGAAGAGGTGATCATATGAGAAGTTTTCTCCAGATTGAAAAAGTTTTGTTTTGAAGAAACACACTAGAAAAACTTGGAGTTTGTGAAGCTTGGCATCTTTGCTAAAGCTGTAATCCATTAGCATTTGGAAGGGCTGCAAGGCACAACTGGTTCTTGGAAAGGTGTAACAATGATGGACAGCACCCTGCTTTTGGCCTCCAGTCACCCACTTGTCCACATCACTTCCCTTCAGATGGCATGGGGAGCCACTCCCTCCCCCAGTCTTTCTCCCGCCCTGTGGTCCCCCAGGTTTTGTATTTCCTGCCCTTCCATGAATGGATCAAGGGGAGAAGGGTCAGGAAGGACTAAAGGACGGAAGGAAGGAAGGAAGGAAGGAAGGAAGGAAGGAAGGAAGGAAGGAAGGAAGNGGGAGGGAGGGAGGGAGGGAGGGAGGGAAGGAAGGCTTCCCATTCTGGCCAGCATCAGAATGTGGCATCTGCAAGACAACAATTCCCACACTTCTACTGTAAAGATAGGCAGCCTCTTGCTATATCACAGGTGAATTGTTGTGCTAGTTGAGCCCCCTGGCTTTTTTCTCTGCCCTACCTAAGACCTCTTTCTCTTACCCCAGCACACGCTAGCTCAGACGTCAGAATAGACTATTTGCCTACGTCAGGGAGGAGTGGGGATGGGGTGAGGCAGGTGCCTCAAAGCTGCGAGCATTCTCTTTAAGCTCTGTGGAGGGAAAGGTAGAACATTAAAGAGGAGGTAGACAAAACTCTGGAAAATTTGGAAGCTAGTTGAGGGCTATGCTGAAGTCATCATGATATAAGAAATGTGGAAAATTTTATCTCTATGCTATGGGCAATGTTAAACAAAACCCTTTTCTCCAGAAAAGAAGTTCAAAGGACTCACTTTATTTATTTATTTATTTTTTTAAAGATGACCGGTAAGGGGATCTCAACCCTTGACTTG